TCTTGGCCATCTGTATGTCTTCTCTGGAGAAATGTCTATTTAGGTCTTCTGCCCGTTTTTGGATTGAGTGGTTTGTTTTTTTAATATTGAGCTGCATGAGCTGTTTATATATTTTGGAGATTAACCCTTTTTGTCCGTTGATTCGTTTGCAAATATTTTCTCCCATTCTGAGAGTTGTCTTTTCGTCTTGTTTATGGTTTCCTTTGCTGTGCAAAAGCTTTGAAGTTTCATTAGGTCCCATTTGTTTATTTTCGTTTTTATTTCCATTACTCTAGGAGGTGGATCGAAAAAGATCTTGCTGTGATTTATGTCAAAGAGTGTTCTGCCTATGTTTTCCTCTAAGAGTTTTATAGTGTCCAGTCTTACATTTAGGTCTCTAATCCATTTTGAGTTTATTTTTGTGTATGGTGTTAGGGAGTGTTCTAATTTCATTCTTTTATATGTAGCTGTCCAGTTTTCCCAGCACCACTTATTGTAGAGTCTGTCTTTTCTCCATTGTATATCCTTGCCTCCTCTGTCATAGATTAGTTGACCATAGGTGTGTGGGTTTATCTCTGGGCTTCCCATCTTGTTCCATTGATCTATGTTTCTGTTTTTGTGCCAGTACCATACTGTCCTGATTACTGTAGCTTTGTAGTATAGTCTGAAGTCAGGGAGTCTGATTCCTCCAGCTCTGTTTTTTTCCCTCAGGACTGCTTTGGCTATTCGGGGTCTTTTGTGTCTCCATACAGATTTTAAGATTTTTCGTTCTAGTTCCATAAAAAATGCCATTGGTAATCTGATAGGGATTCCACTGAATCTGTAGACTGCTTTGGGTAGTATAGTCATTTTCACAATATTGATTCTTCCAATCCAAGAACATGGTATATCTCTCCATGTGTTTGTATCATCTTTAATTTCTTTCATCAGTGTCATAGTTTTTTCTGCATACAGGTCTTTTGTCCATTCATTTTAAATTGCAAGTATAAGAAAATGATTGTTCTTAATTTAGGTGACAGCATTTTCTTTTTTTAAAAATTTATTTAGTTTTTAATTTATTTTTGGCTGCGTTGGGCCTTCGTTGCTGCACGCGGGCTTTCTCTAGTTGTGGAGGCTACTCTTTGTTATGGTGCACGGGCTTCTCATTGTGGTGGCTTCTCTTGTTGCGGAGCACGGGCTCTAGGTGCGCAGGCTTCGGTAGTTGTGGCTCACGGGCTCTAGAGCGCAGGCTCGGTAGTTGTGGCGCACAGGCTTAGTTGCTCCGCCGCATGTGGGATCTTCCCGGACCAGGGATCGAACCTGTGTCCCCTGCATTGGCAGGCGGATTCTTAACCTCTGCGCCACCAGGAAAGTCCCAAGGTGACATCATTTTCTACCATTCTGTGTAGAACTACTGTTCTTCTGCAGAAAAGAACTACTAAAATCGAGTCTGATGAGGGCCAGGGCAGCAAGAAATTCATGGAAGGAAGATCCTTATTTCCATCAGGAGCACCAAGGATCCCCAGGTGGACAGAGAGTTTCTGGCTTTTCAGGCAGCATAAATACTGATGATACACTTTAGCCTTTACCTTCTGTACAAAGATGCTACAAAGGTAAGGAATATCCAGCGCTAGAACCTCTGTGCTCAGCTAAGAGCCCGGAAAGGGCGTGGGGGCTCCCTTTCGGACTTGGCTGGGGGACGGCTCAGAAGTGCATCTGGGGAGCTCCGACCCCTCCCTCGGCGGGGTTCAGGCCAGGCCCTCGGGGGCCACGGTGGACAGAGGCTTCCGGTCTACCGTGCTGATGAAAGATCGGCGGACAGACGTGCCCAGGGGCTTGTAAGAGGCACCGTGGAAGGTGTGGGCAGCACATGGCTTCCGCTGGCTCACCTCCACCTTCCCTCCAACGCCCTCAGAGGCAGGCCTGGGTGGCGGCAGCAGTAGCTCTCACACCCTTTGGCTTCTGGTTGGGTCTGGTCAAGGAGGCGGCGGCATGAGACCAGAGGCAGGGAGAAGAGTGAGGTTAGGCGCTTCCCCTGCGCCCCCTCACCCTCTGGGTCACTGGGGTGGCACATGTCCCTCTGTTGAAGGACACAGCTCCTGATGGAGACCTCCCCCAGACACCGCCCTCTCTGGGTCCTCATAACCGGCCCCTCCTTTCCCCGTCACCCCACTGGGAGTCTGCACCATCCCTATAGCTCTTCCCACACCCTGGCCACACCTCTGTAGACAGTCCCTGTGGAAAATTCCTATCAACGACCCAGTTGAGGGTGCCATGTTTTTCCCGGGACCCTGACTGAAATAGCCGAATTTTATTTTTCTTATACTCTAAAGAGAATTGAGTCTAGTCATCTGTTCCAATGGGCTATGTCAAAAACTACACAATTCACCTACTTTATGGACACCATCTAGAGAACTTTTTGCATGTGCAATTGCGACTTTCCAGCACGAGGTCAAGCAAAAGAGAACATACTGGTAATAACAAGTCATAGTGCTTTGCAGGAAAGAGAAGTATTTTTTTACAATTAAAATTAAACAACCCTCTAAAAATATACAACTAGCTTTCATTTCAAGAACAGAAGGCTTAGTTTTGATGGTTCCCACAATACACTTTGATTAGTAAGAGTTGCTAAGAGTACTAAAAAATATTGTATATCATTGAATCGAAAATGATCTCAATTGAACGATGCATTTTGACTTCAGGGATGCGAAAATGTGAAGAAAAAAAAAATAGTGGGTCTTGGATACAATGCAATACACCCTGTCTCCGAAGAATGACTCATTTATAGGTCGGTCGGTAACGTTTCCTCGGGAAAAATGATACGTTTTCTTTTTACCAAGAACTTGTCTTATTTTCTTTTGGAAAGACGTCACACTGTGGCATCACAGAGACAGTCCTCTTAACTACCAAGTGAGGCCCAGCTTCCTCTCTTATCATTAGTGTTGAACTTCTGAACACACACAACCGTCACTCATCGTTCATGCCTGAGACGCTGTTGTGGTTTCTAATTTGGGTGCTTCTTTGGTGGCCGGGAGTCTGTCTTTCTGTCTGCATCACTGCCTCAGCAGTAAGGCCCTTTAATGAAAGGGTCTGTGGTTGGTTTGGGGTTGAGGATCTGACTCAGCATCGTCATAGGCTATTGCTTGGAGCACACAGTACAACCTCAGTAACTCAGGCAGTGGAAGATGGAAACATCTCAGGCGTCCAACAAGCTTACAGTCACTTGGCAAATTTTCTGCAAACTCACTGGATGACCGGGACGCTGATTTAAACCCGCAGCCTGATTAAACACGCAACCACTACTAATTTACTTTCAGGCTGTATCTTATTCACACAGCTTTCACTATGTCAGTAGGTGGGTGGGATGATTAGAATGTGTAAAATGTGTGTAATGTAGTGAATGGTGGACTTGATCACCAGTCTCTACCAAGTGGCAGACACTTCTGAAAAAAGTCGTTGGTTGGAAACACGTGACAGACACGGTACGATATTTATCCGTGAAATGGGCATGAGGCCTTCCCATAGAGCAAATCTTACTCTTCCCCTGGGTACGTGGGGCACAGGCTCCCCACCCTGCTGAGAGGCCAGGCATCTTCCTGGCTTTACCTCAGTCCTTTTGTTGGTGGGGTGTGGCCATCTGTGCATGGCTGGGGGCTTTTTGCCGAAGTTGTTGGAAGGTGTCTCATCAATGCTCAGCATCTGTGGCCGATTTCTTTTCCAAAGGGGAAGGTCAGTGGTGTCTGGGTGGGTGCTTTGATCCATAATCATTATTTTTCACCACTGCTGATATAACAGAATCATCCTCATTTATCATAACAGGAGAGAATTGGTTTTTATTGGCTAAACTTGTTAGCAGGAAGCTATAGGAAGCAAAATGGTAAGAAATGTGGTGACGAAGGGCTTTCAGACTCCTCCCTGCCACCGTGGGAGCCCCAGCAAGCTCCCTGACACTCTGAACCCCAGCTCCTCATTATAAATGAAAACGCCACCAACCAACTCACAGGATTACGGTAAATGACACAGAGCATGTACTGTAAACTCTGTTCCTTCCCTGCTAACATATACGTTGTGGGTCTACGGTCGCATCTTTGGATATTAGGAAGGAACAGGCATTTTCTTCAACACTGAAACTTACAGTTTGAACAAAAGAGTATTCAGAAAAAGTGTGGCAGAAATAGAGAAAAAGGGTGTCAGTTATGAGGGTATTTCCAGCGTGTATGGAATCCCTGTTGAAACCAGATTCTTTTACTACTATTGGTCTCACCAATAATTATTCATGTTATACAGCCATGTTTTGGAATTTTAATTTTCCCTTGAAGCATCTGTTTAACTTGTTTATTGAAACTACATTCATTTCACCTCCCATAATGTGTGCGTGCGTGTGTATCTCCACTCGCATCCATGGAATAAAAGAACACAAGTCCATCATAAGGGGCCGCTTCTGAAAGATCACATCGGGCCATCGCTGAGAATAAAACCCGACTTCCCAACAAGTCAAAGGAGAAGCAAGACAAACTGTGTCAGCGGGAATACTAATGCAGCTCACAAAACAAAAAGAGTGACGGACGCTAACAGAAGGGGCGTTTATCATCACACGTCGCTGAAGGTCAGAATCGGCGTGGCTGTCGTACTAGAGTGAAGTCTACCGGTGTCAGGGAAGATTCCTAAATTAGGGGGCGCCGATCTTTTTTGGAGGAAGACAACATGGCACAGCTCGGTTGGAGCAGACACCTTGACCCCAGGTTGCCGGGGTCGGGGACGACCAAACAACTTGACCAGATGTTACGAAGGGGACACCAGCGGCACCATCGACCAGGCAACAACTGCCAGGAGGTAAGACAGCTGCTGTGGTTGAACGGTCTCGAGAATCAGTGAGTGAAGAGAGGGTCCCCTAGCACCACCTTCTTAACAAAAAGCACACGCGCTGACCTGCGTTATTGTGCATTTGTGGCTCTGAGGATAAATGATTCCACAAATGAGAAAAAATAAAAATTAATTTTCAGGAACGCGGACTCTGGCTCTGAAGTCCCGGGAGGCCTTACCGTCAGCAGTGCCTGAGAGGCCATCGGCTTTGAAGTTGCTGGTACTTTTCTTCCTCCGATGCTTCTTTCTGTTGGCGTGAGGGGAGGGGGGCGGGTCGAGCTTGGGGCTGGTGGTGCTGGAGATGCTTGGGCTGGAGCACACGGAGTCACCGAGCCCCGTGTCTGCCACCGGACCGGAAAAGGCAAAAGAACGCAAAGGTCAACACTTAAAAAGTAGACTTCGCAAAAGTACTACAGCAACGTTCCTCCAGTGCCACATCATGCTCCGCAAATAACACCTGGACGGGAGGCCCAGAGCATCCCGTGTTAAAGGTCATAGCGCCCCTGCAATTCAAAAGCAGGCTCTCCTCTTGGCATCATCCTTATGCTCTGGAGAATTTAGTCTCTCTCTCTCTCTCTTTTTTATTTTTTAGGCCTGTGCTTCTCCAACTTTTTTTTTTTTAATTTTTATTGGAGTCTAGTTGATTTAAAATGTTGTTAGTTTCTGCTGTATGTACAGCAAAGTGAATCAGTTATACATACACATATATCCACTCTTTTTTAGATTCTTTTCCCATACAGGTCATTACAGAGTACTGAGTAGAGTTCCCTGTGCTGTACAAGTAGGTCCTTATTAGTTACCTATTTTATATATAGTAGTGTGTATATGTCAATCCCAGACTCCCAATTTACCCCTCCTCCCTTCCCCCGCCCCGATAACCATGGTTTGTTTTCTACATCTGTGACCCTATTTCTGTTTTGTAAATAAGCTCATTCGTACCATTTTTTTCTTGATTCCACATGTAAGCAGTATACTCTGATACTTCTTTCTCTGTCTTACTTACAAAGTTCTCTATTTTGCATAACTGGAGTTCTGGAAAAGGAGAGCGGGAGGTGGGAAGCCTTTTCCTTATTTTTCTCTTCCCATAATTACTGTGATATATTAGGAATGAAGTAAAGACTCTTAGGAATACACATGAAAGTGTCATCTTAAATGGGGTTGATTCCATGTGTGTACACACAAGATAAAGGTATTCCTGATTCTCTGTCCTCTACCCCCAACATTATGTATGGCTGTACGTTAGTTTATTAGTAGTGAAAATCGGCATGCCACCTCCCTCTCGCACTGATGTCCAGCAATAGGGTTGGAAGTCCATAGTAGACCTGCCAATTTTTGATTCACAGAAGCTACTTACAAAATTTTAAAACCAGGGCACAAATGTGATCATTCACTGGAAGTGAAACTCTCAATTTATTATGTCTGTTTTTACTCTATCAGTAAAGTAAAACAGTAAGAACAGAATGCCATGAAAACACCTGAAATGAACATGGAATTCAACAGAACGGAAAAGTACCCAGAGAAAGTGATGGGGGAACACCGTCTAAACACCTCCAAAGTTCTAAGAATTCTGTATTTCATGATTCAGCATCTTTGTAACTCAAAAGACAGAACGTTCTGTGTGATATATTTCATTCATTCAACAAATATTTTTTGAGCGCCTACTGTGGGCCACCACTTTTCCAGATGTTTGGGATCCATCACTGAGAAAGACAGATAAAGGTTCCCATCTGAGTGGCACTGACACAGTAGTGGGGCCACAACCCACAGCTCATTACGAGGTGGTGAGAGCTGGCGAGGGAGAAGTAGGGCGCGAAGGGTGGACGCTGGGGAGGCAGCAGCGCGGGGAGGGGGAGTTGCCATCTTAAAAGACAGGGTGCGTCTCACCGAGAAGGCGACGCGTGAGGCAATAGTTGAAGATGGTAAAGGCGTGAGAAGGTGAATGTGCACCTCGGGCAGGAGGAAGCTGCCAGAACCTGGCCCGAAGACCAGGTGTGCGCGCCTGGTGTGCTCCAGAAGCAGAGGGGGGTGCGAGTGGCCGGGGCCAGTGAGGATGGGAGACTCACAGCGAATGGCATTGGAGAGAGGAAGGGGCTTGGCCACCGTCTAGAACCCTGGCTTTTACTCTGGGGGAAATGGGGAGGCTGGCAGGATTTTGAACAGAAGGATGACATGATTTCAAATATAAAGATACTCGAAAGCAAAACGTATTTAAAATCTTTTCATTTTCTGACGTTCTAGGACATTTTATCATGTACTGAGAACTGTCAAAGGACACAGTATCTTTTTAGCTACAAATATGGTTCCAG